TAAGATTTACAATGTATCAACATTCCAACTGTCACACGATATTACGTATCCAAGTGCAGTACTCAGTATTGATATAAGTGTTAGTATCTTACCTTATTAAATAGAATATGGATAGAATTTAACTTTTCCACTATACTGTAACTAAGGTTTAATCCAAAAGTAATTTTTCCTTGCAACTAATAACAGTAATATAACTCTAAGGATCCTTAATTTTTTTATTAAATTGTGATGACGAATTAAAATAATTTTTAAATATTGTACCAATTTCTTAGTGGTATTTTTATTTTTAAACATATAGAAGTTCCATTAAAAAAATTTATCAATTGTGAAATGCAAACTTTTGTTCGATTTACAGTTATAAAAAAGAAAATGCAATTTGCATAACTATTCAAATGATTCATCTTTGGCATTTAGTATTTCTAGAAGAGCGTGAGGGATGTGAATGGTTAGCAAAAGAATGAGACACTTATAGTTGCTAATGGCAACAACAGCATTTGGCGATTACTGATAGTTGATTTCATATCAAAATTTTCCTATTGAAACTAAAATCAATTTATGAAATTTGACGATACTAAATTATAATTTAATTAGATCATTATATTTTTGTAAATTCTAACCATTCTCTATTTGGCTATTAGAAATATTTCTTTATTTATAGTAAATATAAGAAAAGGTTAATTTGATTCATATTTATTAATTATTGATATTAAACTTTAGACTTATTTTAACTAACCTTTTGTTAGATACTAACAATTTTTTTTATAGAAGTTGAATTCTTAATTACTGTAGATCTTTGAATCGATTAACCAACCACAAAACAATATTTCTAATTTCTATTATTTATGTGTTCTATGATTATTAATTTTTTCATTCATTTTTATATATGTATACAATTTATCATATATTTTTCCAGCTCGACATTTCCTTTTTGTAAATAATAAAACAGATATTTTCCACGTATCTATGAAAATCAGTTTATAAACTTGATAATTAGTTAACAAAATATTATTTTAATGTTGTGTATATATTTTAGAGAGATGACAAAACAATTGTAGCTGGAACTGTGGATGGAATTGTGAACATAACTAAACGTGACACATCAGTGAAACATAACAATGAAAATAAAAAGAGGCAAGCTAGAGCTGCAGCAATTGTCCAATCTGATGGTATTGATATGAGTGTCCCAATAATGCAACCTGATCAGATGAGCAAGTTTGATACTGCTTTAAGGAAATTTAATTATAGCCAAGCATTAGATTTAGTTTTGGTTCATGCAGTTGCATTCAAGAAACCCCATATAACAGTTTATGTGTTTGATGAATTATGCAGGTAAATATGTACATTATTTCACTACTTATAAAAAGTATCAATTTGGTTTATATTTAAAATTCAATTCAACTAATTTACTATTAACATTTATGTTTAAATACATTGCTTATTTATTTATTTGGAAAAGCACTTCTTGAATTTATATTTTATATTAAACAATTCACTTTTAAAATTAATTTTTTTTTTTATTGATCCTTAAGCCCGGCATCTATGGCCATTAGCTGTTAGTAGGTTGTAAGGTGGTGATGGTAGGGTTTTTTTGTTGGTGGGGGTTTTACACGTGAGTGTTTGTGTTTTGGCAGAATTTCGAATGGGGCACCCGTAGGTTTCTGCCATGCCCCGGAGTGGGGGATGGCGGCACTTGTTCTCCGGACACCGTGACTTGCCCGGAGAAAAATGCCGCCCAGTGGTCGAGGATCGAACCCGAACTGGCAGCGCCGCAGCCGACGCGTTAACCGCTCGGCCACCTCGTCCCCCTAAAATTAATTGTGTATTGATTATTAGTTTATAATTTTTATATTTTAAATAAATATTTTTTTTTTTATGTTTAGGAGAAATGGTTTAACTCAAGCATTATCTGGTAGAAATTCAAAACAATTAGCATTTTTATTAAATTTTATTGTTCGGTATATTGGAGTTAGAAAATTATCTAAAACATTGACACATGTTGCTTCAACAGTTATTGGTGAGTATATTATATTTTGCACTGTACATTCTCATACAGTTAAATACAAAAACAAGTCATAATACTTAGTGGCAGTACTGATTGTATTTTGTTTAGTAAGACAAATTAACACAATATATCACTATTAGTGATGTATTGTTTTAAAAAAAATGTGGATATACGCTATTTTCAAGTAATTAAGTGACAATCATAAAAAGTACTAAAAATCTTTAAATAAAGTTTAAGAATAAAGTCTTCACCTAGAATCGTTTTTTGAATTGTTGTATACAATGATTTTATATCATTGAATTTAAATTTACGCATCCACTACAGTGACCCACACTATACCTAATGCAAATCAATGCTTTACCACCTTTTTTTATAATATTTGTATATAATTTTAAGCACTAATAAATTAATTTAATTTAATTAAAAAAATTGTAATCCTTTAAATTATTATTGTTATGTTCCAGATTGTTATTGGGATTCATTTGACACTTGCACCCTTGAAGTTCGTGCTCTGCTGACAAAATTACATTCTGTTGTTGAAAATGAAATATTACTAACTAAGAGATTGTTAGCTATTGATGGGTTAGTTAAAATGTTACTTATTAGTTCTGAAGTATTACCTGATGCTTCTCAGACTACAAAACTTGATAATAAAATTGTTGTTAAAAATTAACTTTAAGTGGTTTTTATTTGTATTTTAATTTTTAATTTATGAAAATTTCTTGACATTTATAATTTTGTGTTTTAATGTTGATGAAACCAATAAATTAAATACAGCTTATTTTACTCCAGATACACCAACATGCCGTTTGAAATACTAATTAGAATTCTAATTATTAAGCACTTAAAGTACTTTATACAGCTAAAAATAATAGTAGATTTATAATTTGTTTATTTATGGAAAGTATATAGTACTTTGTATAAATAATATTCAATAATATTGAATAACAGTTGGCTATTATTATTATAATTTGATATTAATACAACATAATGCAATTTTTTAATTATATTTATTAAAATAATATAATAAAATAATTTTTATAATTATTTATTGGTTAGGTTTGTAAGTTCATGCATCTTTTTTTTGTTTTGCTATACGGGAAAACATGCTAACTGACAGTGGCGTGGTGAACATTTATAAACCTTGATGCCCAGCATATATTTCAGTACCTACCCCTTCTTTATCCCCTTAATATAATATATAATACATATAATTATTATGGAACTGTAAATATTTTAATTTTTGTTGTATGTTATTGGTTACCATAATGTACCCAACCACCCCACCCCAAAAAGAAAAAATTCACCATGACGCCTAGGCGTCATAAAACCCCATTCACCACGCCACTGCTAACTGAGATACAAATCTGTTTTATAACAATAGTAATAATAATATGAAGTTTGATAGTGAATGTTTTGGGTTTAAAGGCATATTTGGCATATAGTCGATATTTTACAGTCCTTAGACCATATTATTTCATAAAAATATTTTTTAGACAAATATGTTGAGTTTCTTATTTACTTTCCTGTTTACAAAATTATAGCGTTTAGATTTAAAATTAAAATGACTACCTAATTACAATTTATAAAGATAACAAACCTATTTGAACTTCATTTTATTTTTAATTTTGACTGTTAAATAAATACAAATTAAAAGGAATAAAAATATACCTATATTAAATTAAAAAATGTATAAAAATGTTTATGGTTTCTCTTATGATCGCTAAATTGTTAAGTTTTGATCGCCACATAAATTCTGCCATGTAAGAGTCTAAAAAATGTCTATCAGTTCATCTACGTCTTTTGTTGCCCAATTTAGCCGACCACCACATTCTCTCGACATTTTTTGTGTGGGCTCCTGAGTTAGGGTCCACGATATTGTATCTATGATTAACTTGATTATGTTGAAATCCATGTTGTAGCAGATTAGCATAAGCTTTCCAGTTGTCAGAAAAAATTGTTGAACCATGTCTAATATATCAGTTAATTATAGGTATCAATGTAACTTCTGATCTATTTGACCCAATAACTATGAAATATTTTTTGATTATTGATTATTAGGTACCTCATAGTAACAGTACGTAATTTTTGTCGAATTATTTCATATTTATTGTTATATGGCGGGGCTATAACTAACCAGTACCAAAAAAACATTACATTTTAGATTTCGAGCATAATCACTCGATTTTGTTTGTGATAAAAATCACCTGGTATATGTTTCAAGGATAGTATAGGTATCCAAATGTAATACCCTGATAACTGGGACAATTTCTTTAGTCCTGATTCAAATACAACACAATGAATGTGAACCCCGTCAAATCGGTAAAATTTGACGGCCCCAAGTCATTCTGTCTAAGCACAAAGTTTTACTGTGATTGAAATATATATTTTTTTTACATATTTAAAAAATATTAACAAAAATAATAATACATGTATTTTGCATAAATGAAAAACAACTTCACATTGAAATATTTTGGTTAACAATGGATACAATTATATAATAATTAATGATTTTAAACTTAGACAATAGGAAATTGAACAATAAATAATTGTTATCAGTACATTTCTTAAGAAATTAATTAAACTACTGTCAATTATGTTATGTTTATTGTTCACACATTATACATAGTGTTTGACACTGTTAATAATAAATTATATTTTTGTATTCATTTAATTTAATAAAAACATAAGTTAGTATTTATTAAAATTACCCTTGTTTTCTATCCCTTCACCCCTAAATACTAGGGTATCAAGTACAGAATATTAATATCAAAGGTGTCTTAAATATCTTAAATCTAGAAAAATAAATTCTTAATGACTATTGATCATACATTTTCCATCAGTGTAATGGCATCATACATTTTTATCTATTTATATTTTAAGACATTTTGCCAAAAATATCTTTTTACCATTTAATGTTTCTTTATATTATAACGTTCCAACAATGTTCCCATTGCACATTTAATATACAATACAAAAACACATGATGAACTACTCGTCAAAGAATATTAGGTATTTTTCGTCTAGAATGCCAAACAGAAAATTTATTGTAGGCAGTATGTAACATTAAATTTAAATGATTTGTGAGCTGATTTAACTGACCATGGTTAATAATTATTTGGTCTTCAAAAGGCTTGATTTTGGCGTTTTGAAATTTTTGTAAGGAATCATGAGTTTTCATTAGCTTCTCTTCTAACGCAGGAGTTGTTACAGGAAAACATGACCAAAAATGTCTTAATAGTTCTCCTAAAGATATATATAACTGTCGCAAATCTTTTTCAACTGTAACTGGTACCAACTGCGCTAATGAAGCAGATTCATCACTGATTCCTTTCATTAAACTTCCACCTGGTGTAAGTAAACCGAGAGTATTAACAGCTGCACTAGGTTCAATAACTTGATTTGAAGTTGTCTTGCTCCATTCATAAACATCATAAATAATACTCTTTTGCACTTCCCTTGCTTTAGAAAGTTTGGAGGTAGTATTATCATGCTTATGTTCTCTTGTTAAACAATTAACATAACTTTCTACTCTAGATAATTTCAATTTCTTATGATTAATATCCAAAGTTTCCGCTTCTGGATTTAGATCTTCATAGTCATTTTTCTCTTGAATTCTTAACCTCTTCAAAGCGGTATCTGGTGTGCCATTTAAATGAGATGAATTAGATGGCACTTTTAAATCATTTCCATTAGGTATAGAATTTAAATTAGATTTTTCACAGGTTTTAAGAACCATCATTGAATGTTGATTAAACCTTTTAATTATATTTTCATGTACAATATTTGCCATGGAAGATTTTTCTTCAGATATAGAATTTATATTATCATCAGATCCATCATCTTCGATTGACCCAACATAACAATCTGTATTATTTTTAGATAAATCTTTAATTTCATTTTTGAATAAATTATCGTCCAATTTGGCACAGTCGTTAAATAAATCTTTTGCACTTCCTGTGGTAATACGGTCTTTATGAAAATAATGTGACTCTAGGAACTTTTGCCAAAATTCTGATTCTGTCAATTGATGTGGTACATATTCTAGATGTTTTTGCCGAACTGCTGGATATGTTTTAAAGATACATTGTATGGTATCATTAGATAAATTGAATTTTTTTGTACCATCACTTTTGACTGTAACATTGGTAAGAAAATTATTAGGTACACCGGTTTTTTGAGTAATTACTTTGGATTGAGTAGCTAAATGGTAAGGGACATGTTGCGACCAAAATTCTTCAGATGTTATGACGTGGGTAATGACTAGGTCTTGATATAATTGAAAAAGCATACGATTTTCACCAAGAATGCGGCTTTTTTCACCAAATTCTTTGTTTGCTTGTTTTTGATATTTTGGCAGTAATTGTTGTATTAAGTCTTTAACTCGATTTCTATCTCGCATGGCTTCACTCCTAATAAAAAAAATTCATAATTAAAGTTACTATACACCTTTATAAATTATAATACATTTAAAATTGAGATTAGAAATAAGACTGTTATATAGGCTTAAATTTTTTAGAACTCAACATATTAGGTAGGTATAATAACTTTTTTGATATTTTATCTTTCTAAAAATTAGTAAATCAATAATCTTATTATTTCAAAATTGTACCTCTCAGAGTTAGTAAATTGAAATAATGAAATTGTTTCGTCGTGAAACACCAACTGTAATTGCACTTTGTTTTTGAACTCTGATGATATTTTTTGCATTTTAATATCTCTATAATGGTGGCTAATAGCTACAGTATCGCTAGAATTGAGGATAAATGCAACATGTTGGCTCATCACATACAATGTCCCATCGCCTTTCTTATGCCGTACTGGCCCCACTTGAAGGAGCACATCTTCTGACGATGTCATTTTTACAGCTAATGGGGATTAAAAATTATTTAGTAAATTACAAACAATTCCAACGATATTGTGGAAATAACTTGGAACATACAATTGTACAGAAATATACTTGATGTCCTGAAGATCTGATGAGATTATAATGTATTTAACATTATACAGTTAAACATTTATCAAAAACACTTGATCCGGGTGAAAATCTTAGGTGTTTGATTATATATAAAAAATTAGAATACGTCCGGACAGGCAAAGTGGATATTCTAACAAACCACGAAGTAAAAAACGTTCAAGCCGGTTCGAGACTTCAAGTAACGATGAATTTACTTATTTTGAGAATTATAAAAAAAATTTAAATAAAATAACAAAATTCTCTGGGCTCTGGCATTAAAAACCAACCTCAAAAAAAAATTAAATATTGAAAAAAAAACAAACCAGGGCAACGCCAACAGTGTAGCCACTTTAAGAGAATACTGTGATATTATATGCCATATTATTATACCTCCACCATCGAGCAACAACATTACACGGCTGTAACCAATCGTCGGTCCGTTCGATTGGATTCGCTTATCACTGGCGACCGCGGTTACCCCGTATTATATAAATATCATAGAACAATATATAATAGTACGCCACTATGAGTTACCCCGACGGTGGCGTCGTTGTCGCCACTACATTGCTCACAGTAGTTCACTCCGGTCGGTGGGCGGTCCCCCATCGGCCGTCCGCCAGTCCGCCCTCGTCGTCAGCGGTGTCTGTCTATGTCTATAGTGTCGACTCTTCGTGCGACCGATCTCTTTGCCTCTCTGTCGGTCAATCAGTCAGTCCGCCCGTCGTCACCACCACAGTTGTCCGATACGTATTGCACGCGTCGGTAGGCAGCGGAGTGTTTGTTCTTGTAGTACGCCGCTGAAGACCCTTTTCCCTTCCTAAGTTCCTCCCATTACTGACGCCAAAGTTTTCCGACCGGTCGTCGCGTCGATATTTATATAATTAACAAATATTAAATAGGTATCGCACCACCGCCGAGGTATAAATTAAAAAAAGCCTAATTGGTAGGTGCCCAAATCATCGCCACAGTCACTTGTTGAATGCCGTGATTTCATCCCTTTTTGTACATCGATCTGCGGTGACGACGATGGACTCTAACAACACTAGTACGTCTTAGACCGTGACATATGGGAAAATCTTTTTCGACTACCGCTCGTGCTCACTCACGGCAACGATGGGACCCCGAGTGGTGTCGAACAAAACATGCCCATAATAATTATACTAATATCATACAAAGTACCTATAAAGGGTTTGAAAAGTGTAGAAATCCGAAATGGATATTAAGTACCTGCACAATATGCGTGTATAAAACATAATATAATATATTCGTATTTACGGTCACATAAGTTTACACTTTTTGAACACCTTGCATATTATGTATACTTTGTACGTTTGCAAACATATGGAAGTGTAGCATTTTTTTCTGTTTTTTTCAGGTAAAAAGTTCAAGGAGCAACTTATCAAAAATGTGAAGAAGGAGGTACGTAGATATATATATTATATAAAATGCTCGTTATTATTGAAGTAATATAATATACATAATATATTTATAAATTATAGACACATAAAATCGAACATAAAATGTATACAGTCGTACAGATATTTCGGTATTAAAGTTCGTGCCTCATGAATTTGTGTAATAGGGATCGTTCTAAAGTTCAACTTTCGACCCTCGCAAATTTAATATTGTTTACAATTCCTGTTATAGTTGAAAGCATTAAAAAGTATAGATAACTCTTGTTTACTTCTGCTTTTTGTGCGCAACAGCTAGTATATCGATGCCGCCATCCGCCCGACACCCGTATACCAATATTATAATGTTTCAAATAATATAGGTAATCACAATATAATTTACATTTCACATTATCAGTTTTTCGCAGTGGCGATATCGTATACACAACCATTAACCAGCAATGAGCTAGTCTCTTTGAGGTGCGATAATTACTAGTTGACAAAAGAATTATACTGTAAACTTTTTAAATGTTTATTTTGGAATCTTTTTACGAAAATATCTCACTGTCCGCTGGAAATAAAATTGTTGTGTAAAATACCTATATATTATACTATATATTAGTTAATAATACTTACATAATAGTGAAAACTGAAAATCATTTAACTTATAACTATTAGACTTAGTTAAGAATTTTAGATATAGTTATATTATAGATCACATTCAACCTATAAATAGGCACCCTGCAGTTTAAAAATTTAACTGTGTTATACAAATATTGATTTATACATCATAAAAAATATATATTTGATGTAGAAATAATTTTCTTTTTTATTTAAACAAATAACTAAGTTTTTGCAGGTATCATATTATAATATATAATACGCTATGTCGCTATATATACACGCAGTCGTGCAAATATACGCACATACTTATTATTTGTATCAGGTGTATATAGTCTCCCACCATACTTGCATAAATATATTATACTAATTTATATAGGTACTAACAAATTGACAGGGGTGAAAACATAATTTATTCATACAGGTACAATATACAATTATTAATTATCTACCTGCTGAATTGGTTAAATGGGTGTCAAATATTTTTATAAAATAATAAGTAAGGTACTGTAGATAAACCTAGAATAAAGATACAAACTAAATATGTAATAGGTAATTAAAATTGTAGAAATGTAATCACTCCACATTTTTAGGTAAATTCAATAATATTTTTTTTCTACATTACTTATAGGTACTATTAGGTACGTATAATATATTTGTGGGAAAAATAAAAACATTTAACTGAGAGTAGTTTATATTTACAATACACACAAATCGTCTGAAGGAAGTATTTACCCGTTTATGGCACTACCTATTTTAATATTTAGCATAATTAGATGAAATATTTATTTATTTTTGAGATTATTAGGATCTTAGGTTATATATCTAGTAGGTCAAGACACCATTTTTGTTTAATACTTTATTACGTCGTGTCAGATTACCAGGAATCGCTGCAGGGACTGCTAGATTTTTTACAAGGGGCTTAAGTGGCTAAAATGCTGTAGAAAGGTTGTATAATATAGTGTTGATTCTTCTTAGACGGATTTCGTCTTGAAATCAAAATCTATTGGGAATTTATTAATGTTCTTTGTGCGATATTTTGGAATTTGATTTGTTGATAGTGGATTTTTTTTCTTTTGGCATAGATTGGACCGTTCAGGTACATCACCTCAAGTCCTCAACCACCACTCCTCTCCATCTGTCGCTGTCTGTAGCTATTATCTCTTCATCGTTAAAATATATTCCCAGCACAGTAAGGTTTTTATGGACTCTGTGTTCTGTCCATCCATCGTTGTCTTGGACGATTCCAGCGGTCTTTTTCTCTTCGGTATGTATTTGGTGACTTGCCCGATTATTTGTTCATACGTGAATCCGGTTTAAATCCCGTAATACGCGTATCCTGCCCAGCTTATCTTTTTGCTTTTCAACGTACCTACTATGTACGAATCCCCTAACATACTTGTAACTTCTTCTTTAATTCTTTGTCTGTACTCTCCCGTATTTTGGTTTCTCCGGGCGAATCATTATTTTATGTCAAGTTAATTTGGATCTATTTGATCTATAAAAAAAAGGGGATGAGGAAACAGTCACATTCAAGATATAGAGAAAATTTAAAGAGAAGCATAAACACTTCATAAAAGAAACACATGACATAAAAACGGATACAAACCAAGAACGGCTAACATCCTGAAAGAATCGGACTGCACACTACGCTCCGTGTCAAGAGAGAAGTAACCCGTTTCCCGACCAAATCGAATCCGCTCATCCCCCACCTATTTGACATGTCGACGTTGCACGAAAACGACCGTCAACGGTCGGCAACGTTATATAATAATACTATTAGTATGTATCATGTTATAAAGTGGGGGAAACGGGGCCTCGGAACAGTCGCTGTCGTCAGTCACTCAGTCTGCATGCGCGTAGCGGATTACCTCTCTCGTGGCACGGAGTATAATTAGTAATTACAAATAAAAACCGGCCAAGTACGAGTTCTACTCGCTCACGAAGGGTTACGTACCTTCATCAGCTATGTTGGCAACACTGCTTATATTATATATTCTAGGATTATTAGTATTGAGGAGAAGTAATGCTGACGCGGTTCCTCTTCCGTACCTCGGTTAACTTGAAAAAAAGGATTTTTAATATTTGTTGTTATAGCATCCACGGAAATACATAATCTGTGAAAATTTCAACTTTCTAACTTTCATGGTTCATGAGATACAGCCTGGTGACATACGGACAGCGGAGCCTTAGTACCTAATAGGTTTCCGTTTTACCGTTTGGAACCCTAAAAACGAAATAGCTGAACCAGGGTTTTTTTTAGTGTGCAGTGAGATAAGTAATTGAGCAGTAACAATTGTTACCTACTTTCTGAAGTGCAAAAAAAGATTTTCAGTATGATATTTTAAAACAATAATTGCGTAAAAATCAAATTAAAAAAAATGTTTCCATCAAAATTAAAATTGTTAATATTATTCATTATTATATTACTTTTATTTGATGTAAAAGTTAAACACAAAAATTAAAAGGAAATTTCCTTGTTAATTGATACGTAGACAAATTCCCTAATATAATCCAAGAGTAGGAATAAGTTTGTGCAGTCAGAAAAAATCATTAAAAAAACCCTGAGCTGAACAATTTAAAGGAAATAGTTTATGACTGGTGGTATTTTCGGTATTTTCGAATACCTGCAGTATGTGTGTGTTTTGGCAGAATTTTTAGTGGTCGCCCGTAGGTGTCTACCATGCCCATTTGGAGGATGGTGGCCTTTTTCTCCGGACACCGTGACTGCCCGAAAAAATGTCGCCCGTGGCCAAGTTTGAATCGGGGACGGTGCGCGTCGCAGCCGACATCTTAGTCAGCTACTCCATCCCCCAATAACTCTATTCAAAGTTGGAAATTTGCAAACACTAATACATTTTCCGCGAGGTACGATATTTTCGGTAATTACCGAGGTACAATTATTTGGATGACTACCTGTAATACCGAAGATACCGATAGTAAACAAATACCGGATACCGTTATCAACATTTGAAATACCGCCAGTCCTTAAGCCGGATTCACAGCTGCTTCGTGTGTCGTGTCGTGTCAATCAAATCGTACTGTGATTGGATATTACTTTTTTGGTATCAGGTAATAACCAAGTGGCCACCGAGTTACCAAGAATTGACTACAGCTCAACTTTTAAACTATATTGGTTACCAGTCGTAACCATATATTAACCAAGGCATCGCACGACACACGACGTAGCTGTGAATGCGCCTTTATAATATATTCTATTGAAACCATGACAACTGACAAGGAGAGTGTATAGAACAACGCATGCTGACAGTACTACAGTACACATGCTGACAGTTGATAAATGAATCAACAATAGAAGAAAAAAATAACTATTGAAATGCTAAAAAAATGTTAAAGCACCCGGAGAAGATAACATAACACCAAAGTTACCAAAAAGGGTGGGAAAATGGCAGTGGTTAAAGTGGGAAAAAATTCCAGAGGGGGCTAATGTCTCCATATAGTTTTAAGGGTTCCATATATAATTGTATGTATAATGTCTAATGTATAAAATCCTAATTTGTTAAAGGGGACGCTTTTTAACCGCCGTCAGAGGTAGGGGGGACTGAGTCCTCCTGAGTCCCCCTACTTTAACCCCTGGAAAATGGTGACTAAACCAAATTAATTTGAAGAAAATGTTAAAAGAGCATTGAGGGAAGATAAAGTACCCTTAAAGCTTCGAATTTGTCAGTCTTGTGCCCTATCTACAAAAAAGGGTGAACTGCATCTAAAGTTATAGAGACATCATAAAAGTAGTATCAAACGTTATTTTTAATAAACTCAAGTCATATGGAGATGAAATATACTTGGAGAATACCAGGAAGGTTTCAGAAAATGAAAATCTATGGTGAATAAAATACATACTGTAAAACAAATAATAGGAAAATGCTACGAATTCAACCAGAAATTATTGATGTTTTTAGTTATTTTCACTATAATGTATACACTTTACACTATATGTTAACATTGTTAACACAACTATATTCACAGATATTCACAAGAAACTAAAGCTGAAAATCGAAGAATTATTTCGACTACTTATCGTGTACAGACAAAAAAAAAATTTAAAAAATAAAAAAACACATTATTGTAAAATCAGAATCTAAAATGTGAGAAAGTGAGTATCGCTTTACTGTATGTGGGTCACTGAAATGGATCTATTGAATTTGAATTAAATGATATACCATTATTACCAATCATGATTCTGAGCGAAGATGGTCTGTCAGCCTATATTACTAATTTTACTAAATTTTACGATATTACGCTACACGCCCGCATGTGTTGTCTCTGTGTTACAAATGTAAAACATTGCAAGAACTGTTTTGCGAGGGTAAGAACCAGTAACCACTCGGGCTGTAGTCTAAGCTAAACAACCAAATTTTCACGCTATTAAGATGTAAACATTTACTGTGCAACTTAATTTTTATATTTTCAATATAAGAACTACCAAAAAAGTTATTGAAGTTTAAATAACTCAAAAAATAATGAACTTTTCAACATTAAGAACTTTTTTCATATTTGTGATATTGACAAATTAAAAATAACGTTATACAGTCAATGTTCTCCTCATTCTAGTATGAAAATTTGGTTTCATAACTTGAACTACAGCCTGAGTGGTTCTTACCCTCGCAAAACAGTTTTTGCTATGTTTTACATTTGTAAGACGGAGACAACATATTACATAAGCGGGTGTAGCGTCAAATTATTAAGTAATTTATTGCCATAAACATTGCATATTTGCATTTGAAATTAATGTCATTGTGTATATCTTGATTTTTTCGATTCTTTATTATCAATTATAAATATATTTCGATTGGTAAAAATCATAGACCTATAAACTATTTATAATGGACAGCGTATTCCACTCCGCCCGGCCATCTATGCTAGGGAATCTTATAACTGACAAAGATAGAAGAGAGAAAGAACATAAAGTAGTAAATCATGGAGGAAATACTTCAATTTTTTTTTCATTTTCTTTATCAACTATAAACATATTATTAATTATCATCTGTGTTTCTGTAACATTGTCATTAATAAACAAATAAACTTTGTTTAGAAATACTTGGTACAGCATTTTCTTTCAATCGCCTTGTATTATAAACATTAGTTAACGAGATTTCGTACAAACCAGGGTCAAAATGAAGCTCACATATTTTTGAAGTATTTTTTGGTTGAAATAATCGATTATATTTCTTAACAAATGAAATCCATTCTTTACCGATATCTATTTTAGGAATTCTAGAAATATTGTAAGTTAAACTCATCATTTGTTGAGTAATGTTATAACTTTTAATCTAAAACTTCTTAAACTTAATATTTACTTAATGGTACTTACCTATGAAACTTTATATTTTGACCACCTCTGGACTTGCAGCCTTTGACACAGCAAGATACAACCATAGTAAAAACAATACTTTTACGTTTTACGTAACTACAATACTACAATAGTACTAACTACTAACAGTGACTTAAAGACGAGAAGTGAGTCAAAATATCGAAACAGCCGAAACGACACAATTATAAAAAAATAAAAATTGAAATATTGACAATACATAATTAATATATTATATATATATGTGTGTATATATTATTATATAATATAGGTATCTAAAAATAAATATATATATAAATTTGATATTACGTTGCCAATAAAATATAACAATTGCCAACATTTTATTGTTCCACAATTTTTATTTGGCAGTAGCCACACTGTAAAATACTACTATTTGTTTCTTTTCTCGCTCACTCTATATCGTACCCCTGACTTCTCTCTCTATGCGCTGTCCATTAGTTTATAGGTCTATGGTCAAAATACTTGAAAATGTAATATACAGGGTAAATATTATATAGCCATATAGGGTGTATCTTAGCCGGAACCGCTGAAGCTATGAGTATGAAATTTGGCCAGTAGTTTTGTTTTGTGATGCAGACATCCACTAAGAAAGGATTTTTAAAAATTCAACCCCTACAGGGGTTAAAAGGGGTAAACATGGAAAAAATTAATATACTGATTCATTTGCCTTATCACCAACTTCACTGTGCCTGTAATCTAACGCAGGTAGATTGCTTACCTGATAATATACTGTTCACATAACCATAAGCGAGACTCAATGGGCAACTCCACACGAGATGGCTAAAAATTAAAATATAATATGATTTTGCTTCAATATGCCCAGCGGCCACAGTGAATTACACCTAAAAGGAGTTAATTAGTAAATTTATTTTTCCGGACAAGCTAGTATTTTATATTATTATTATTACATTATGTTATTATATATTAATTATATATTATATATATTAATTATATATTAATTCACATACATTTTTTATGAGCGTCTGAAGTTAGAATTTGACAACATTTGTCAATCATGAAAATCTGCAACGATTTTGAGTTAGAAATTCGTAAACAATTTTCTATTTACATCAAAGATTTGAAAAATTAATAAACATTCTTCATAAGTGTTCCTACCTTATACAAAAAAAAAGTTTACTGGAAAGTCAAATTAATTATTTATGAGCGTTTGAAGTTCAAAAATGTACGTCACATTGGGTATTCACCCGTAAATTAAGTATTTCTCCTCAATCGATTTTTTATAATTCAAAAATTAATAACAATAGGTAATGTTTATTTTATCATTTTCTTTAGGTCGGTACCTACACTATACAGTTTTAAAAATAATTTGACATTAATTGTATTTTAAAGTTTTTTAGTTTTATATATTAAAAACACATAGGCATGATTTTTTTTATAAGCATTTCAACAAAATGCGTCAAAATCATGAAAGTCCGCAAATTATTTTGTATAGATTTCCTACTTTTTCAGTGGATTCTCCTAAAATTTTCTTACATAAAAATCTTGTCCTGACAATTACGAAAACAACAAAAAAATAATCTTATTAATTACTAATTAATTAAACAATATTTTAACAAATTTAACTTTGCCACCGGTAGCGATATCAGTGGCGTAGACAAGGTGGGGAGGACGTGGGGTTAGATCTCCCCTCCCAACTCCCTTTTTACTACCTTGGTAAAAAGTTTTGAGAGGGTGGGCGATTTTCCAATTTTCACCTCCCATTTAGCTGTTGTTATTTTTGACCCCCCCCCCCTCAGAAATCATCAGTCATCGAGTGATGTAGATTAAAAAAGTGACCAGATCACGTGACTTGGATTCATATTGTCGTTAATGTAATAGCACTTTTATAAGGGGTCGTTGGGCAACCATACTATCTTAAATTGTGCCCAAGAGGGAGAATATCGAGGTTAATATGATTATGATCGCGGTGGCTCACTGCGCGTGCAGTTTCTCGATATCTCTCCCAAGACCGGCCACAGCACTTGTGGTCGCGTCAACTACCAAATGTCCGTATTACTAATAGTAAAAATAATTAATTTAATTGCGCAATTATATCATACAATTTACTTAGTAATTTATACTGACTCAATTTAGTTTAGGCCTTAGCTCAGAATTGTTTTTTGAATGCAATGATATTATAATCGTTTATCATTGAATTGAAATTTAAGTATTTAATACATAGGTATACATTATAGTGACTTACTCAATGACGAAGTACACTCGACACCTATACTTACATAAAAGTGGTTATATCTACTTTCCTCCTTTTATAATTCTGAACCCTCCTCCACCAAAAATGTAACTATATTCAATTTGCTACTAGAAGGTAGAAACCACCATGATTGTTTTGGATTGAAGCATTTTTACTGTTCTGAAAGGTGATGATACACACTCTACACACACAAAACACATAACTGTAAAACCATAATATATACCTAGATATTATTAATTAAAATTGTAATTGTAATTGCTCCGCTCAAAATCTAAAATGGGTACATAAACGATGTGTTCATTTAAGAAGTATTAATGACTTACCCTTACGCACTTACTTATACTTGTGTTTATTAATATTTTCTTTACACAATTAAACTTTAGACTAATTTAAGGTACCTATAGGTAATATAGCTATATTTAAAAATAAGTTTATACCACTTACGATGAACATATTATAGTACAACTCTATCGTAGTATCGTCTATTCTATATATGGTATGATGGATACATGTTTTTCTTGGAAAAAAACTGTATCAAATATATTATAAGATTTGTCATCTGATGAATTAGGTAACTAATATAGGTATATCTACAAAATCCGAATCCAGTACTCACTTCTCTTCATCTCCAAACTCCCCTTTTCCCTCACAAAGCTTTTTACGCCTCTGTTACCGATTCCAATAATATATAACTCATTAATTACTTCCCTCATTTGATTACGTCCTACTGCCTATAACGACGAATTTTCCTTGTCCCTTAAAATTCGTTATAACTGATTTCCACTGTGCATTAAGTAATATATATATGTTAATAATTTAAAATAATTGAACTTACGCCGTATATGTTATAAACAAAGTGCCTATATTCTACCTTATATGTAACTCTTACTTTAATAATTAACTAATTTTTTTATAGGAAATTAAGTTGATTTTTGTGGCTTTTTTCTGGTATAATTTATACCACGGATCACTGTATGTAGTAACATTTCTATCACAAAAAAATCTTGTAATTTTAATGAAATTATATCGGTATTCGTTTATCCCTTTGCGTTTCACGATTATGAGTGTATTTTCAACTGTGATTAATTTTCTTAAAACCATTGTATGTTTATTTAATAAATCAATAATATTTAATTATATTTTGATTGTAATTAATATGATTGTAATATTAATACAATTGTAAACAGATTTATGGAAAAATTGTTGATTATTGTTTAATGTTTTTAAAAAATATTCTTTTTTCACAGCAGACATATTTCTTAATGTATCTAGGTACCTAAAGTTATATTTTCACCATAATATAGAATATTAATAAAATTTAATTGAACAAAAACAGTTTTATTTTTATTATATATATAAGTACTCTGTTTTTTTTATAAGAAACAATATTATGTTTATGTATAGTTATATTTTTATTCATATTATATATTTTATTATTTAATATACAACAGGTGAAACAAATAATGGAAGAAGCTGTAACTAGGAAGTTTGTACACGAAGAAAGTGGCTCAATTACATCTCTTTGCGGTAGTGTATTTACAATAAATTATTACTTTTTTAATATAAAAATAATATGAATCATTATTATTATAATTTATGATGGTTGTTATGTTTAGTTATTCATATTGTTAATTGCTATACATTTTAAATAAATATTTTTATGATACATTTTTTTATCTGAATTTGAGTTTATTCAGAATGTTTAATAAAAATGACTATTGATAAACAATACATATAGGTTTAAAGACAATTAAAAATATAACACAAAACAATTCTTTGCAGAGGTGAGATGAATTAATAGATAGATGTTACTTCACAGCTCACACCTGTCACTGTTTCTATATTTTGTCTGCTTTAGTTTTCATTCATACAAAAATGTAGTAATAATAGTAGGTATATAGTAAAAAGTTTTCCAGTTTGCATCTTAATCGTTTTCTCTGCCTGAAGTTAGGAATCAGGATAACAGTATGAATTTTTATTTCGAATCAAAATGTTTAATAGACAGTACTGCATACTATAACTACATATTAAACTACCTACTATATAGGCACATATATAATATGTATACATCATAATAAATTATATATAGTTAATGTTTTTTTTTCATATTGTATTAGGTATTCCTAACTAATTTCACAATATTAAGCTATTGCTGTAGACGTAAATATAATATTTTGTAAAGATTTCTATAATAAATATAGTAATGAGTGAATTATAAAGTAACTCATTTCCAATGATTTAACAGTAGAATCTGTAGGCTATGTAATAAAATTAACAAATTCGTGTTTGATAAATAATGAATATTACATGATTGTAGCTGCTGTTGAAGCATGTCTATCTCAAGGATTGAGGCGAAGAGCATTGGGATTATTTAAAACTAGTTCAACAACAGCATTATTACATAAAATGGCGAAAAATTTTGAACCTGCCTCCATAATTAGTCAGAAAGTTCAAGAAATGGAAAATACTGACCCAAATAAGTAAATATCTATGCATTACTTAAGCCTCATATTTACTATTTAATTTAATTTATTCAGATCGAAGTATTTAGATATAATGTTTTGAAGCTTTAGAATTAAGGGAAAAACATCGTTAAAGTAAATCAATTATACAAACCTACCAAAAAAATAATATTTTTGTCATTTTTTTGAATTTTTACTTTATACATGTATATATAGAGAATTATTGGTACATACCTATACGACTATACAGGCTATATCCTATTTTTAATTATGCAGAAAATACTTTCCAGGACAAGTAGGAATAGTAATAACTAATATTAAATAGGTACTCTTCTTAGGTACTCATATTAATGTTATTAGATTACTTACATAC